CCCATTTCTTATACGGTAGACATTCTAGAGAGAAAAGGTATTATTTTAACCAGGTTTTTATGACATATCAATGAGTAGTTTATAATAAATTTTCTTTTTTTGTATCAACTATGCCTGTAGATGCCTCATAAAAATGAAAGAAAATAATTCTTGTTGCATTATAGATAAAGTTTCACAATTTAAGCCAATCTATCAACTTTCCATGCTAAACAACAGTAATGTTTTCACTATTTTCACTGTGACTTAAAGGCACAAATATCCATAAACAAATTCCATTTCTTACTTTAGCAAGAGTTTCGATAAAATATTTGTGTATGAAAAGAAAATTGTTCATGATAACATTTAATTACTGTCGAGAAATCAAAGTTTTTCAACTTTATCGCTCTTAAGCTTAAATATACGCGTATGATCATCAACTTTTCTGCATCTTTGGAAGATATTTATGATGAAAGATTTATTGGAATGAAGAGATTTATGAATGTTAAACTCGACTTGATACAATTTTAATTTAGTTTAGTTTAGTTTTATCAGGTACTAGAAACTCAGACAGAACTCATTTTCGATAGAATCAGAGAAAGATACCTGACCGGTGTCGACCTTTCTCAAGGGTATCATCAGGTGTTACTCAGTTCACACCGTGTGAAGATGTTATTAACACGTTAAAGAATGAATCATTTATTGTAGAATGAAAAGAAATATTTAATGAAGAGAATATGTGCGGTGGCCAGTGGTAGTAGTCTGTTCTCATCGTGTGAAAGTTCTCATTCTTTGCTGGATGAGAACAAGGAATAATAACGCCTCGCACGGTGTCGACTGCGTTGCATTGCTTGTCGTACCTTAACTCTATCTTTCTCGAAGGAAACCACCTTACGAGATTCTTGAGAAAGGTCGAAACTAGTCGAGGTATCTCCTTCTGATTGTTTCAAAAATGAGCTCTGTCTGAGTCTCTAGTAACTGATAAGCTGTTGTAAAACTAACTAAATTATATTGTACATTAGAACCATTCTGTTGCATATGGAGTCGAAATAGATTTGGCTGGAGTTTTTTTGCAGATGAGTTGAAGAAAAATCTTTTTTGCAAGTTACTTATTAGCATAAAGACATGACTAATTCGAAAATATCTCTGCTCAGATCTTTTCCGTTACTGAGACAAGAGGCATTATTTCCTAAAAACTGACTCTTATTTATTGCTTCAAAGGCAAGATTTTTTGGTGAAATTGATTATTTAGGCAGCTGTAGCTTTGTACTTGGATTCTCTGGCAGTTGTAATTTTATAAAAACGTCTTCCGTGGGCGGCGAGAGCGCGCAAATTTTCCAAATTTTGGACTTTCTCCACTTTTAACCATGTCGGACTTCTGATTTTTTTAACGATTTCTACCAACGAAAATCAAGCTCGCGCCTAGCAACATGTCTCTATACTGTACTCGAGCTATGTATGGTTATTTTATTCATAAAGGTATGATTATAAGTAGCCGGCAGGAAAGGTAGTTATTTTACGGATAATGCCGCCTATCTCGGTAACGGAAAAGACCTGAGCAGAGATATTTTCGAATTAGTCATGTCCTTATGCTAATAAGTAACTTGCAAAAAAGATTTTTCTTCAACTCGTCTGCAAAAAATCTCCAGCCAAATCTATTTCGACTCCATATGCATCGCTTACCTTTGTTGTAGTACCATTAAAAAAAAACAGGTAATAAAATAGTCATTGAAATTCTAGTTCCGACTGAAATCGATTGTGTATCTGTTTGGTGGGAAAAAAATCAAATGACTTTAAACTCCGATAAATGTTCATCCACTTATCTTACTCTAGATCCAAAAATGGACTCTCATCTTTCATTATCTCCTCGCAACCATCCTCTTTCTCTTGATAATGACTTTAAACTACTCGGTTTACGTCTTTCGTACAATAGTAAGTGTTCCACCTACATCATTGAACTTGCTTTTCTTTCCAGACGCATACTAGGAGCTTTAAATCGCGTATTCCTAGATGTACCATAAGCCATTCTTTTGACCCTTTATAAGACTTATATTCTACCCAAAACTGACTATTTCTCAGCAGTTTACAACTCCAACTTTTTCACACATGTAGCTCCACTAAATTCTCTTCAGAGACTTGCGGTGCGCATTATTACTAGAAACTTTGGCCTTGCAACAGACAGTAGTACGCTGTTTATCCAGTTACGACTGCCCTATCTTATAACCTAGCGATCGATTCTTACAAGAATCTGATAAGAAATTTATAAGAATCTGCTACGACTCGTAGAAGAATCTTATTTCATTCTTATTGAATTCTTACATAAGAAGTCCGCACGAACGTGCCAAGAATTCGATAAAAAGCAGATGAAAATCAGTCAAGAATCCTGTAAGACTTGAACAAGAAAAGGGCAAGAATTGACAAAAACTTCCAATTTTTTCTTTTCTCTCTTTCGTTAGCTTTATAGTTCATTAGTGAGTATGTAAGAGGTCGCAAAGCATTTTCAAAGCGACCATCTTACCTACCTTGAAGAAACTTTGAAAAAATTTCCAAGAAATCAGTGGTGCTTATACAGTATGTGGTTATGCAAAATAAAACGGTGATTGGGTTTTAGTAAGAAGTTCATAAGGAAGTGATAGAAACGTCTTATCAAAGTCATAGCTCATTCTTATTTAAATCTTACCTGATTCTTATCGGATTCGTACAAATCTTGCCATTACTTTTTTTTTTAGTACTTTTTCCATCTATGACACAAGTCGTGTCCTCTTCTTTCTGAAGAACTAATAATTGGAATCCTCTACCAATGGAGCATAGAGTCTCAACACCGCCTCTCTCTGTTTTTAAATGTGCTCTCAAACTCTTTCTTCAAATGACTAATGACGCTTTTTGTTTATTAATATTTGTACTATTCTCGTTCTTTTCCTTTATTTTTTGTTTCACTACTACTTATTTTATCCGCTTCTTTACTTTTTTGTTTGTTCCTTCTCTTCTTTCCCTTCGGGCATGTCAACAAAGTTAGTAGCATAGATTCTTTTATTACAAACGTTTGTACTATCAAAGCTCTTTCATGTATCCATGACTATGCCAGAATAAACTGAATTGAACCTTAAAAAAATATATAATGACGTATCTCGAAAGGGTATTGTAGTATTTGTTTATATTAAAAAATCTTTTCGTGAATAATCTACAGATAGCAAAATCAATCTAGCCTGTAGAAATCTCAATTTTTTAATTTATAATTTTTGCGTCGTCATGGTGTATTTGATAAACTTAATGATTTCGACGAAATGTGCTCGAATTGATTGACACGCCTTATCTTTTATTAGTAAACTTCATAGGAGTTACTGATTTAAGTAAAATTTCTTCAGAACGTATGAAAAACTATTAGGGTTCATACACGGGCCGAAAAGTTATAATCCTTAGTGGTTCACGATGCGTACCTTCTCAAGAACATAATACCGCCGCCCTATTCGAAAGAAACAGAAGTCATGCCGTTCTCTTGTAGATAGTAAATGGTATACAATAACATTTTTAATAGGTATATAGTTTTGTTGCTTAGATGAAAAAAATAATATTTATAACAAGTTTTTTCATTCAAAAATTCTGTTTTATAATTATTAAAAGAATATTTTACTCTTCCTTCGCAACAGAAAAAATACTGAAACCGTACAATAAAAAGTTTTTTCTCAGTTGCTAATGGAAATGCAAACGAGAATATAGAAAAAAGTGCCACACTGTACACTTTATTGTCATTTATTTAATCAACCTTTCACAACGAAAGAACACAAAGAAAAATATAAATTTTTCTTTTCAAAATAAATCTTTTAAAATTTTTTTTTATTTTTTCTTCTTCTAATGATCGAACATAGTAACGATGGAATCATAGTAACATTTGTGACTCTTATTCTTCAGTAACACATATATCAACTATAAAATGATGATAAAAATTTCAGCCTACATTTGTTTTTGACTTTTCTTCTCAATCATGATAGTTAAATAAATTCTGAAAAGAGATTTAAATTGCTAAAATCTTTCCCTGTCCGATAAGGTATGTTTGAAATCTTCATCAAAATATTTAATAACTAAAATTTCAAGAAAAATATTTTCAGATATTTTAGTTCTCATCGAAAATTGTTTGAAGAAAGTTTCGTCGAATAGATCAAAAATATTTCAAAACAAAATAAGATATATCTATTGAATGTTTATTTGATGTAAAAATTGTAACGGAGAGTTTAGCGCCATCTAATCTTTGTTCAGAAATATTTTATAGAGATATTTTTGTATTCAATAATTGAATATTCACATATTATATGAAACATATCTCTCAGTATGTTCGTATCATATTTTCTTGACATATAACTATGAAATATTTTAAATCTTTTATTTACAATTAATGAAAATCTTCAATCATTTACAGAGACAAATGAATAAAATTTATTAATAATATTTTTTGAGTAAACTCTCTAGAGATTGTTTAATTGTAACAATATTGATATTCTCTAGATCATTCAGCACTTGTTTTATTGTTGTTGAGCTATATGATGATCGAATATTTACATTGTTTTATAGTTTTATTCTATCAGAATACAAGTGGAAGAATATTCCATTATAGTATTCTAAACTAAAACTATTGAAAAATACAAAATCAATTTTTGTACGAATAGAGAGATTTGAACATGTGAATTTAGCTTTGTAATAAACTAATTCACTATTCTGTATCTATATTCTGTACAATGATTGAAGTTGTGCAATCGATTCGATGTTATCAGTAGTCATTTTGTTGATATGTTTTTTGTGTTCAGTTTGTTTTATAGCTTTATTTTGTCAGAATACAAGCGGAAGAATATTCCATTATAGTATTCTAAGATGTATAATATTACTAAATATATAATATTTACATTATTTCAGATTATATCTATAATATTCGAATATATCAATTTTTGTCTGAAGTATATATATCTTTCTGCACTTTTCTCTGATTACTTTTAGATTATTATCATTAGAAATTACGCTCTACAGTATCTACGATGTCTGGACAATGGGGATGTAATGCATGAAAAAATTTTCCAGTAAAATACATTAATCATCATTTTTATTCATTTTATTCTAGCATCACTATTTGCATGTTTTGATGATAAAAATTTATGTTTAAAAGGAGCGTTTTGCCCTTGCTTGGTATTCGGTGAGAATCAAGAGAAACTTGGAGGAGATTATACCAAAGAAGCAGTTTTGTACTGTCTAATCGGTGCTTTGTATGCAGCTGTCACGAATAAACGACGTGACTTGAGACAAAGATACGGTCTTGTCGAAGATCCAAACGATTTTCTGGCCACATGCTGTTGTGGAGGATGTGCCAATTGTCAAGAAGCGAGAGAAATACAAAAAAGAGGAGGTAGGTCAACTTTCAAACTATGTGAACATAAGTGAGATAAAGATGATATTCGTTATTCTGCCACAGTTTATAATATTCAATTCTTAGTAATCTTCCTGTTTTATTAAGGATCTTCCGGACCTGCGCCAGTATCATCTCAACCTCGTCGACAATTTTAAAGTTAAAAATGATCTATAATAATAAAACTAGTGAAAAGTTTCGATTGACGTACATATTTACTAGTAACATTCTATTATGAACTAAAAAGTTATTTTTCTAACCTTATTTCGACAAATAAATATAACTGATACAATATTTATCGTCTGAACTCTTATCTCTGATAGAATGAATATTTAGATAGCATAATTTTTGTCAGTATATTATTAAAGTTTTCGTAGAAGAGAAGAAGGGACTACTTTTACTACTACTATTTATACCAAAATGCAGTGCATTCGGTTGCTTTTTTGAATAACTTTCGAACGAAGAAGGCTGAGAAAAATCGGTTGTCACCCGTGTCATGGCAATGTTCCATATTGATCTAAAGCAGTGTAGAACAGAAAAATCTTACGACCGTCGTTATATAACGGAACCCTCACACAGCAATGATACCACAAAGAGTGCAATGACTGTTTTTCTTTTTCTGTGATATACGAGCGTTTTTTTCAAGGACGTTTCTACTAGATTTTCGAGTGAGACTCAAAGTTATTGCACATTATTTACATAAGGGTCCCGACGGACGTAATGAGTGTTTTTCTTTCTTTATAATATATAAGGGATGATTTTTCTGAACTGGAGGGGGACTTAGTAGATGATGACCAACAAGTCATTAAAGACGAAGAGGAAGATGGAGAAGATATTGACTAAACTTTGTGAATTTGTTATTATTATGTATTGTGAAATAAACTTTAGTGTCGCTCGAAAATTCAGTAGAAACGTCCTTGAAAGAACGCTCATATATCACAGAAAAACAAAAAACAAATCATTATGCCCTTTGCGGTATCACTGTTGTGTGAGAGTGGCGTTATCTAACGATGATAGTAAGATCTTTCTGTTCTAAACTGTTTTAGATCAATTTAAAAACATTATCACAAGATTTGGCATGATCGATAACGTATGTTTCCAGTAATTTTTGACATTCTCCAGACAAAAAACATCAGTTCGGACCTCCAGAAAAAGTTCCAGTATACCCAAACCTTGATGGCTAAAATATGGGACTTGCCTAAAATTCTAAAGGACAGTTCAGTACCGCGAACCAGCTTCGTGGCCCCCCAAAAAGCATACTTTTTTCATAGTCTGTCAGCCTGCTGTTTCAAAGACCAATCACGTACACCACCTGCAAATAGTATTTTCGACATTATTTTCAGTGGGGCTATGTCTTCAGGTTCTGACTACTCACTGACGGCAATCACACTTTTTTATCTCCCGTGTTCGGAAGTACTCAAAAGCAGCCGAGTACACTGTACTTTGGGGTAGATAGTAGACAGCTAAGAAAACTTTTTTGAAATAGATTAAAAGAGTTAAAAAAGATTTGTTTTTGCACAAAACAGCATTGAATTGTGAACTCTGTAACATGTTAGCAGACGGTAAAATTTGAAGTACGAAAACGTCACTTTCGAGAACTGGTAATCAAGCGTGAACTGACACACGTCGATTTCAACAAGAAATGTTTGCTCTACCATCTCTCAATACAGGAATCTGTTTTGCTAGAACGTATAAAAGCCGAATATTTCAAATATTTATTTATTTTTGCTATTACTCTTTATTGTAGCATCACTGAACGAGACTGTTATTTAGATTACCAGACATTTAGGCGCCGACGTTTGGGCGCGTGCAACATTCGGGCGCACGACATTTGGGCGCAACGACATTGGGCGTATCTACGACAAAAACAAACAGAAGTAGTGCATTTATTAAAGTATGCCGCAAAACAATAAAATTCTCTTTAAACAAACTTTTTATGCTGTGAGAGCTTTTTTCTATATTACTCATATCCAACTGTAACCACCGTTGCTTTAATCTTCAGCGATACTCGAACTCACACTCACCCACACCGGCGTCTTTGAACTTCAAATATCGTTGCGCCCAAATGTCGGTATACCGTTATTTAAGACCAACAGAATAGATTCGACGTATATTCTAAGAAAGATTTGTAAGAGTTCAGGAGATTGTGTAACAAATGAATGAAAAATTTTCTACGAAACGTATTTTCCATAATAAATACAAAGTTTCGATCGATCTTAGGAACTCTTACATGAGCTTTCCAGTTTCTGCTTCTCATGAGGAGCTAGCTAATCGGTAAACCCTTCATTCTGGCCAGTGCTGTGACAATATCTCATCAAAGATGATAGATGAAACCAAAAGAAGATTTCTGCATCATAATTTTGGGATGGTTAACATTCCTTGAAAGGTTTCTTCAAATCGGATTAGCATTTACCGAGATAGGTTTCTGACACAGGAAGGGGCTTAAACTAAAAAGGATTAAGATATGATATTTTGAGGGCTGACTCGAAATACTTGCTCATTGTTTTGTTTCTATCTTAACTCCTTCCGTCTCTAAAAACTGCTTTTGTTGTGGACCATCACAATTCGATCAGCTAGATTTTTTACCTTAGACACTCGACATCATATTTCCTCAATCACGATTATTCACTGTTACGTTTAATCCTAATATATGAGATATGAAAACTTAGCGTCAACTAAGATTATCTGTGCGTAGCGTATAGGAAATTTTATGTGGTTCTGTGGGTATGTTTCATCATTCGAAGTGAACTTTCAACGGTTTCTCTTTGAACTCTAAAATATAGTTCAAGGAATTCAAAAAATCTGAAGGTTTTTCAGAAGTTTATCTTAGTAAACTGGAATTTTAGACTTTTTCTTCAGTCTGGTTCTTGTTTTCATCTCTTCCACCTTTCATTCCTGATAGATAACATATTTTGTCTCATTATTATGTATGAATAAAGACTCTGACATTACTCACATTGCAAATTATAATCTAACATTGATTTATACGCTAACGGTAGGACTTTTGTAATAAATGTCTTAATTCTACTTATAGCAGCTTGAATAGTCATAGTAAGGAAAAAATGAAAAATGTATATATACGTTTTTAAAAAGCTTTATATATATAACAAAAACGGTAGTAGAATCTTTACTCATGCTCTCAAAATGTCACTTGGTTCTGTACAATTCTCTTGTTAACTTGTGTTTTATCGAAATTTTCTGCACTGATCATGAATCATTTGTGACTCGAAAGCTCTACAATAAAGTTTTAAATAAATAAATAATATTTTTTATTACAGTGAATACTCAAGCTACTCTAAGTGGAATTAAGACATAATCTAACCCATTTTGTATGCGAATAAACTTATACAGATATAAAACGAATACTCCTGAGTCAAATGGACGTGACCACAGACACACGAAAAACGATCATCAAGACCAACAGAAAAAATTGATAAAAAAAAAAGACGTAATTACCACAATGTACAGAATATCTTCCAACTTCAAGAATATAAGATTTGAGCCAAACTATAATCTAAGTGAAGTTTCTCATAAAATGTATCTAGAGGTAAATAAAGTATTTCGCTTCGGGAATAGAACTCCATCCAATCGGAATATCAGCATTACTCTAGGTCCACAGGAGACCAAATACCAACCGGACCTAGTGTAAGATTAAGCGCATTAAAGTAATTACCCATACTCTGTTTTTCTAACAATATGAATACTATAAGAGTGAAATACTACTCGCTACAGATGCAGTATTTTGTATTATTTCTGTTCTGGTATTTCAAAATATTGTATCCAATAATCGTACAAATCCTGAAACTTCAGAAAGAGTCTCATTATTTTTTTTGTGATTAATATTATTTACGCATAAATAACTTACGTGCTTTTATTTCGCTAGAAACGAAATAACAAATCATCAACACAAAGAACATTTGAGGGTATTTATATTATGTTTACATTAAAGGCAAAGATGTAATTAAACCAAAATCGTAGAAAAACAGAAGAAATATGTCTGCGTTAGTTGCATCAGGATATTGTAAGGGAAAAAGTACATAAAAGAAAGAAAAAAACAGTCCATCGATGGATTCTATTAATTTGGTATTTGGTGTAATGACAAGAAATATTGATTATGCTAATAGCCTCGATAGAAAACTAAAAAAGTACTCAACTGCCATTTTTTATGTCGTCTCTATAGCAATTCTAAGCAATCGGGCGATACACGAGTTTGTCGCGTTTAGCAAGAAAACTGAAAGTAACTAACGGTGGAAAAAACTAGTCTGTTATCTAATCCAGTGATATGGATGAAAATAGTTCAACACAAAGTTAATTTTTACAAATATTTTAGACTAATATAACACTTATATTTATATAGTAGTTGTTGAATAAAATGAAAAATGTGAGTAATGTCAGAGTCTTTATTCATACATAATAATGAGACAAAATATGTTATCTATCAGGAATGAAAGGTGGAAGAGATGAAAACAAGAACCAGACTGAAGAA